CTTGAACCCGGGAAGTGGAGGTTGCAGTGATCCGAGATCATGCCACTGCCCTCCAGCCCGGCGACAGAGCAAGACTCCATCTCAAAAAAAAAAAAAAAAAAGAAAAGAAAAGAAAAAGAAAATGAGAATGTCATTTGCCTAGAAATGAAAATCCCATAGATTTTTAATGCAGTGAGAGTCTCAACGCTCTGTAACTGCACAGATCTGACGGTGGGTGGAATCTGCCCAGTGGAAGGAAAGGCCCAGCAGCAGGCCGGCTGGGCTCTGTGCAGTGCGGCAGGACCCCACTCACCTGTGCCTCTCTGATGCTCCACAGGTTCTCCTCATCCTGACTGCCCTGCAGCCCTCCATTTTCTCAGTCTTGGCCAACGGCGGACAGATTGCTTGTTCACCTCCCTTCTCCTCTAAAATCAGGTCTCAAGGTGAGCACGTGGAGGCCCCGATCCCATCGTGGCATGGATGAGATAGGGGAGTCAGGAAAGAAAGGGCCTCAGACAGACATTAGGGCAACTGACTTCTGCTCAGAATGTTCAGAAGGGATCTCCAGGAAATCCCAACAAAGGCTTTAAGGAAACTATGACCTCTCTGATCACAGAGAAGAGAAGTGAAACCCCACACCTTGAGGACAGCCCAGAGTGCCAGCCCAGAAAGCCATGGGTTCAATCGTCAGCTCCAGGGAGAGGAATGGGTGTGGCTGAAAAAACAGAAGCCCATGTTGATTGAACACACATAAGAAATGGATTTTAATGCTAGCCTCAGATCACAGAAGTAGAGAGCCAAGTTCTGGTTCTGGCTCTACCAGTAACCTGCTATGTTATTTATGACAATTTTGTATCCCTAAGTCCTAATTCAGGGGTAAATCAGAGAAAGTGTTGCTCAACTCGTATGCTGGGGCTGCTAGTAAAATAGCTCCTCTATAACTCAGCGTAACCTACGTTGTTTCGCCCCACACTGCAGTGATGAACTGCCACCTCCTCATCCTGGAGACTTTTCTAATGACTGTGCTGACACGGACATACTACCGGAGGAAAGACTGCAGTGCTGGGTATGAAGCTTTCCCTTCTCCAGACCTGGACTTGACCCTCAAGGCCGAAGGTGGATGGCCTGGGCAGTGAACAGATGCTGTACTCATTAGAATAAAGACTTCCTTACTGTCCCTCAACCTTGACCAAATGGGGAAGCATTCCCGTTGTCAGCACAGGCTGGCAGACTCCACGTGACTCTACAGATGAAGGTGAACAGTGCATGGGAGAAAACTGTTTTGGATCTGGCCTGGGGAAGGTGTTTTAGGTTTTGTAATAAACAAGATGAAGTCTGAAAATGTGTAACTGGGCACACGGCCTCTGTCCATGTCACTATGAGTCCTTCAGGGTTGTATATTGCTGGCTGGGTGTGCTGGCTCATGCCTGCTATCCCAGCACTTTGGGAGGCTAAGGCAGGAGGATCGCTTACGCCCAGGAGGTTGAGGCTGTAGTGAGCGATGGTTGTGCCACACACTGCAGCCTGGGGGACACAGGGAGACCCGGTCTCCGGAAAAAAATAAAGGAAAGCTTACTGAGCTTTCTGAAGCAGATGGAAAGAGGAAGTACTGTAACTGGTGTAAGAAAAGAACTTGGTTAAGCAAAAATAGCACCTGCCCAAAGTCTTGAAGCAGCCAGGCCTCGAGAACAGATGGAAGGTGCTCCTTCCCTTACAGACGTGTTACCAGGGCACCACCACACGAGGCCTGGGGGTGTGGGTCAGCCTTGCTTTGTGGCACACGGGCTTTTGAGTCTTCGGTGACGAGCTACAAAACAAATCTCCTGATACTGCGGGCATGGAGCTTGATTTCTGAGGAGAGAATGAGTATGCAGAAGCACAGGTACTGAGAGGCCAAGTGAAAGTCCCAAATCCACAACATGCACCACACACAGGTCACAGCACAGGAAATGGAACGTCAGGTAAAACCACATTGCCTTTATTTGGCTAAATAACAAAATCCAAATGACTGAGAACAGATTAGTAACGGACAGGAAAAGTACAGACTGAACCCCAGCTGAGGAGCTCTTCCCTGTGGGCTCACACTGGTGATGGGCAGACATTCACGACGAAGTGAGTAGTCCTTTCCAAGACTCTTGTCTTTTTTGGGATCCTCAATACAAAACAACCCAACGAATCCAAGACATGTGTTCAAAACAGTTTTCCCCCTCAAAAGGCGGGAAGGCCCACTTCAAACCTACAGGAAGGCAACCCGACTCATCCCAGCGCTAACCCGGCTTCTGTTCTCTACCTCAGTCCGAGCGCCAACATAAGACTTCGGCAGACAAAATCTTTCTTCTTCAAGAAAATTAACATTAAGTGGTGTAATCCCAGTAACACGTTCTACTTCTTTATTTGGAAAAACAGAAGCTAGGCACCACTCTCTATCCCAGGACAATCTATACTATGAGAGAAAACAAGAACAATCATTGTTATGACTGAAAAATATAACCTTTAAAAATACTTATATTGGTAAGGTTAAAAAAATAGCATTAGTTAAAAACATTGTTAAGGGAGTTTTCTTTTTCTACCTGTATTGGTTCAACTTCTGGTGAGAATGAGCGCTGATAGAAAATCTAGAAGCTATGGCTTTCAGATAATTAAAGAGAAGCAGCAAAATAGAACTGATTTGGAAAGATTTTGGTAAGTGATCTGGAACAGGATTAAAAAGGCAATGAGCCCTGAAAATTAGCTACCCATAGTCACGATAATCCAGGAAGGAAGAACACAGCCCCGTGAACCATGGTGGAAAGAGTATCTAGAGATCATGTGACCAGCTGTGCAGCCTCGAAAAACATCCGGGCTTGTCAGCGATCAGAAAGTGTCAAAAGTTTTCTCAACTCCCTCACATGGTTTCTCCTCTCCAGGATTTTCAGCCTCCTCACATCCCTAACTTTCTTACCCAAGCCTCAGCAAAATCACGGTCTCTGGCTCTAGCTGTCAGAACAGCTGCAGCAGTACCAACCATCCATTTCTAGGCCTCTGAAGTTTCAACTTCCGTCCCTCAGTGCTTCGGCGCCCGGCATGAGAAAAGAGCAAGCTTTCTGTCCAGCCCACCTTCAGGCAGGGGCAGCGCTGGCACCTCCTCAGCTCCAGCTGCCAGGCTTTGGCCCTGGCCTTCTCCTGTCTGCTCTACGGCCAGCTTTTCTGGCTCTATCATCTCGGCCACATCTGGCCCCTCCATGTTGACTGCTTTCTGGCATGGGATTCGGGGAAACAGCTCCACAGCCTCGAACACTGATATCCAAAGAGTTAGATCACAGGCCTTGCGGTGTACAAACCTCTAACCTCATTCACGTGGGCACAGACGATCACATGATGCAGCAGCCCACCGTCTACCCACGCCTGTCCAGCACCTCAGAACACGTTTCCCCGAAGTATCTGATGTGCCACACCATAAAAGTTTTTAGCTTTCGGTCAAACTATGAGACGGAGGGGGCAGGAGCTCACCAAAAGGGGAAAGGGAGTCTCCCGAGGCCATGTACATTTGCTGTCAGCCTGCGGGTCCCTTTCCATGCACAGGGCACGCCGGCAGCAGCCCAGTGAGAGCAGAGGAAGAGGGCTCCGACATTTGGGACCCAGACAGTAACTCAGGAGGTGTGGGGAAAACCGCATTCAGGGCCTCTCTCTGTCTATCCAAACACACTTGCACAACGTCCCGCTAAGGGACAAGTGGGGCGGCTTCGCTGCCTTTCCACGCCGGGAGAGCGAGCCGGACCGAAGCAGGCAGAATTCCCAGAAGGAGAAAAGTTCAAAGACGAGACTACACAAAGCCGGTCACACAGGAAAACACTAACTTCAACTGTTTCAAAGACAGGATTCCAAGCCAAAGCTTGTATGAATCGGGTTTGATAGAAGAACTGCGCTTCGTGAGAAGAGTTAGAAATGCCATTTTCATAGGTCGCCAGGACAGGAGGCTGCGTTTGCCCTCTCCTACCTTTCTGAATGATCCAAGTTTATTTTTTATTAATTATTTCTGTGGTTTTTTTTTTTTTCCTTTTCTTTAGGGACAGTGTCTCACTCTGGTGATCCAAGTTTTTTTATTTATTTAATTTTTTATTAATTATTTCTCTCTCTCTCTGTGGTTTTTTTTTTTTTTTTTTTTTTTTTGGAGACAGCATCTTGCCTTGTCACCCAGGCTGGAATGGGGGGCAATGGCACCATCTCAGCCCACTGCAACCTCCGCCTACTGGATTCAAGGGATTCTCCTGCCTCAGCCTCCAGAGTAGCTGGGATTACAGGCATGCCCCACCACGCCCAGCTAATTTTTTGTACTTTTAGTAGAGATGGGGTTTCACCATGTTGGTCAGGCTGGTCTCAAACTCTTGGCCTCAAGTGACCCACCAGCCTCAGCCTCCCAAAGTGTTGAGATCACAGGTGTGAGCCACTGCACCAGGCCTGGGTACTCCCAGTTTTAAGAGCCTCGGTAGTCCTGCTGTGCAGGCAATGATTCTAGCCTCTGACCCTCGGGCAGAAGAACAGGTGTTACCAGGAAGTGTTTAGGGAGTGGACCATGAGACACTCACAGTCCTAGCAGAGAGGCAAGAAAAGAGAAAATGTGGTTTTCTTAGCTGAAAACACTGACTCTCCACCCCCACAGGGGTATTTATGAGTGACAGGGGTGGGGCCTGGACATAAGCAATTTCCCCCTGAATCTAGTACAGGGTCACCGGTGGTTGATGATCTGCGAATCCATGTAGCTAAGGAGATGGGAGACTGAGGCTTTGAAAGTTAGATCATGCTCAACAGCAGGCGCTCAGCATTAGCATTCTTCTATTTGCAATCCAAGTGTTGAATCCCCTGGGCAAGCTAACGCAGGAGATGGGACCACAACCACCAGGCGTGTGTGAGAACTGGGGAGAAAAGCTACCACACTCTTGTCACATGAGGGTGTGCTCTGTGGCTTGCTTTGGGGGCGGCGGAGGGAAATCCCTGCCAGCTGCAGCTCTCAGAGGGAAAGAAACACTCTATGGAGCACTGGTTCCAGTGAAGAATGTTCTTAAGGGGGACACAGGTCAAGATAAGGCTGTTGCTTTAGAAAGGAAGGTTTTTCCTTAGGCTTTTGCTTCTACATTCGGTGCAAATCTAAATATTCAATATGGCTATGAGCAAAATGGATTAACATCAAGTTCCAATGGCAGACATTTACAAAGTACCCTTTCTAAAAGGCTAGGCAATATTAATAGCATTCAAATAGGAGCAGCAGGGCCAGGCACTTACTCCCAGTAGGAAACTCTCTCAGCTGACACGGTATAGGTTTGAGTATTGTCCCGCTCCTCTCCTTATCAGTCACCCTAAAAGTGTTCCTTCCTTCAAAGGTAGATGGCAGGAAAGAGACTGACGGAAGCTCCCAAAGAACTGGGCAACAGAGTTTTCTGAGACGATGAACACAGCAGAAACACTGCGGGTGACGCCATGGGTCTGGTTCCATCCCCATCAGTGTCTTCATGGACCCCATTGGGTCCAACAAGAAACTCCTCAGGGAGTAAGAAAAGTGAGGCTCAGATCTCCTTCTTCCCACAGCCACAGTGGCACTGGTGACAGCCACACATTGAGGGGATCTGTGACTGTAATTCGGCTTTTGGCCTTTCCTTAAGGAAATCAAAATTAGGGTATTTCTCCACAAATCACCCATCGGCACGGCTCATTTCGGGAAGGACTTGGCAAGCCACTTTGCTTCAGAACAGAAGGCAAATGCTAGAGTGGACCGGGAAGAAAAGGCCTCTGCGGATTACACTGCCTCCTCCTTCTGCCCACTCCTCGGGGGCAAAAAAATTAGTTCTACATTTGAAAGACTAATTTTAAAAAATTAATAAAAATGACCATTTCCCTGTCGAGATCACGTGAACATAGCATGAACGTGAACATACCCTGGGGAGGGTGAGCGGACGCAGAGGAGGCTTCTAGGGTGCAGGCCACCTCCTTGGCGGGGTGAGTGAGGTCTCCTGGAGGATGGGCTGTTTCGGTTCCCCGAGTCCTAGGTCCTCTTGCCTCGGTTGTCTTTCCTTTGTAGCTGTCCTTAGGTTTAGTGTTGGGGTCACAATTTGGAATTCAACAGAGAGCTTCTGAAGGTAACGGGACATGGGGAGAGGAAAGGAAAGGAGGGAGGGAAAGTCAGTCTTCTTCGTCCTCACTGATATCACAGGCTGCCACCTTGCGCCTGGAGGGATTTGCTGGAGAGCAGGGTGGAGAAGTCTTGCCAGAGAAGGGCCATCGGAAAGACGGGGAGGGGGAGCGCTCACGAGCAGGGCTGCTGCTGGGGCTCTGCTTTGGACTGATGGCCTGGAGCATCCGGCCTTTCCCCTCTTTCAGCATATGTTTCTGGAGAAATCAAAAGGAAGAGTTAGAAAAAAACCTGTGGATCCTACTAAAGCATCCCTGAAGCATCTGGGACTAGGGTAGTCTATGCTACACTCTATAGTTAAGGGATCTCACCTGCTATCATCAACTGGGAAATTTTCCGTTTGTCCTGAATAATCGATTCTAGTATCCAAACACCCTCACAGACAGATCCTTCCTGTTATCTAACCTAGGGCTCACTCGCTCAGTCTTGTATTGGATTGAAAAGACAGCTACTCCACCAAGACAGATTCCCACCTGCCCTGGGGGTCCTGCTATAGCTACTTGGAGTGGAGGCCGCTTTTTTTTTATTGTTCTTTATTCTTTCCTTTCCTTCTACATAAAATCATACCACAGAAAGAAGCCGGGCAAGGCTACTTGCTTATCTTGTCACCAGATTTCAAGGCTGATAGAGAGCTGGCAAAATTATCTAGGAGAATGTGTAACCTCTTTCTGTAAAGATTTCAGAAACCTTTTTGGGGACAGTTGAAACACAGTTCTGCCCAGATAAGGGGAACAGATTAGATAACTTCTTAATGTCGACGTCCCTTTCTGTTCAATGATTCTATAATTCTCTCCACAACATGGGAATTCCCTAAATTATCCAGTGGGAAGAACGTACCAGTGCTCCTTCTGGACCAAACATTTCCAGAAAACTTCCGATGAATTCTCGGGACTTCTCCTCCCATTTCTGAATGAGGTCGATGCTTTTTTCCTCCACCTTCTGAACAAATTCTTTTGACTTTTCCTCCACATCTTTCACTTTCTTCTTTACTTTATCAACCCTCTCCTGCAAGTGGTATTTCTTCTCCTAGATTAAGAAATAACTATTTTGAGAAATAATACTCATCCTAAACTTCCCTGCCATAAGAGAAAGAAAAAACATGGCCCACTGTTTTCAGTGTAGAATTTTGCTTGGCTTTAATCTACCCCACGTCATTAGCATAGTAACAGCTAAGATATGCTGTGGATGCTCATACAAAAAGTGGTAATTCTAATACTGTGTGCATTTGGGTCTAAACTAAACATACAGGCTATACCCAGTAACAGACAGGCACGGAGCCAAAGAAAGTCAGAGTTTTACAGATAAAACATCAACTTGGAACATAAACATGTCCAGTATGACCCAAATCTCATTTTAAATGGAGATACAGAGGCAACTAAAAGATCACTGCAGAATACTACCGAGAATAAACCAATTACAATCGACTGGAAGAGGAAGATCTAGATCTTTTACCTAATTAATCTGCTTATCATGCTAGCTGTTTCCCCTCTATCACTGGCTTACTCTATTTTTAAATGAGTTGTGGTTTTTGCTTTTTGTTTCTTTGGTATTTGAAAGTCCATTTACTCATCTGCAAAATGATGAAACTCTTTGGTCTTGCCAACTTTCCTAAAGATAAGGAAAATGGTGTAAACCCTCTGGTGGAGGGAAGGAAATATTTAGTCAAATGAAAAGTGTCGTTGGCCAGGCACAGTGGCTCACGCCTGTAATCCCAGCACTTTGGGAAGCCGAGGTGGGAAGATGCTTGAGGCCAGGAGGCGGAGGTTGCAGTGAGCCAAAGTCGCACCATTGCACTCCAGCCTGGGCAACAGAGCAAGATTCTGTCTCAAAAATAAATAAATAAATAATAAAAATAAATTGCACATTCGTACTTACTTCGTCGGTTGTGTGGCTTTATATGAATGTGTTGGCGCAAGGCCATCACGGCAGAAGCTGCTGCTTCCTTCTCTTTGCAGAGTTAACACAGTGGTGATTCGTTCACTGATCTTTTGGGAGTGATCATTAGAACCAGCTGCAAAGCCAGTTCGGCAAAGATGCAGTGGGAGGCAGTATGTACCCTACAGAGCGGGGACTCGGGTGAGGCTGGAACTCACGTTGATGAAGCTGACGTTGAGCTCCTTCGCTGTGTAGCCCCGCTGCAGGTTCCGCCGCGCATACACATCGTAGTCCCGCACAATCCGGGTGATGATGTCTGATGTGGAGATGCCTTCTGTCCTCTGTGTTGGAGCAAACATGCCTAACTCAGAAACACATACAGACAGACACTGTGAAGTTCTGGTTGGCTCCAGTGTGAAGACTACATGGAAACTGGGAGCAACACTCCTTTCCTTTCCTCGAAAAGCAGAATCTGTTATTACTAAATGAAACTGAGATACTGACATACAGAAGGAAGACTGAATCAAAGGCTAGAGGTAAGACAAACAAGAGTTACGTAGCCCTAATATTAAGAAAAATATGAGGAAGCTCTCCTGAAATTAAGAGAGATATCAAAAGCAGATGTTTAGACCAAGAATCGATGGATGTCACAAACCAATGGCAAAGAACTGATGGATGCTATGCTCATCTTTACCTTTTACCCAAAACGTGACCTGAAAGATGTTAAGCTTCTAACGTACACATTTTCCTCTGTAAAGCAGCACTATGGCTGCACATCCGCGGCTGCCCCTGAGAAACCCACTCACCTGCTTCCTTGATGTGCTTATAGACATCGTCACTGCCAGCAGATGAATAAGGGATGTCATCGTGGGCTACAAAATCAATCTGAAAAGAAGGAGACATCATTTAAAACCCAGGATAGCTGCCTTTCAGAAAGACCCAGGACACGTTCTCAGGCCGAGAGAAAAAACAGTAAGCAGAGGCCAGGCCTCAGTGGACTTCGTATCTCTCTTTCCTTTGCTCATAAATTCTACAATCTACTCATAAATCACCCGACCTCATTATTTATGGAGTGTAGATATGAAGTTAGCCAGCTGCTTTTCTAGCTATTTCTACCAGACTACCAGACTACTGTTACCCTCACTCTGCGTACCATCACCTTGCAGTATCAGTAGGGCCAGAGGGTTTGCTGGTGAGCCAGTTCATGGGTGCAGCCTAGGAAAGGTGGAAATCTCCCTGTCCTAGGTCTGGAAGGATTGGTCAAATGAGGGTTTCTAAAAATATGAGAAAGAGGTTACTTCTTTCTTAGCTGGTTTCTCAGTCCAGGAGAAAAGGGAATATAAAATAGCAACCACGAGCCCTTTAACTGGAATAGACGCGTCTACACTCCTGAGAAATACAAACCCGAAGCCAGAAAAAGATCTATCATTTTACTACTTTTTTTTTTTTTTTTCTGAGACAGTGTCTCACTCTGTCACCCAGGCTGGAGTGCAATGGCACGATCTTGGCTCACTGCAACCTCTGCCTCCCAGATTCAAGTGATTCTCCTGCCTCAGCCTCCCAAGTAGCTGGGGTTACAGGTGCGCACCATGACACCCAGCTAATTTTTATATTTTTAGTAGAGGTGAAGTTTCACTGTGTTGGTCAGGCTGGTCATGAAGTCCTGACCTCAAGTGATCCGCCCACCTCAGCCTCCCAAAGTGCTGGGATTATAGGTGTGAGCCACCATGCCAGGCCATTTTACTACTATTAATATCCTTTGCAAGAACAAGAAGAGATCAACAGCTCTGGGATTCATGTCATTCAGAGACATGCCAAACTTCACGTGCTCCTTCCTGAAAGGGCCACAGGCCTTTTGCTAATAGTTACTAAGATCACTATACCAACTCCCAGAGGCCGCTGTCGTGTAGCGCACGCTGACTGGGGCTGTGTCAGAGATCCTCAGCTGGCATCTCAGTTACTCATGAACAACTTGTCAGGGATCCACAGGCAGCAAAGTAAAGAACAGGAGGCCGGGAGGACCACCTGAGGTCAGGAGTCCCACACCAGCCTGGCCAACATGGCAAAACCCTGTCTCTACTAAAAATACAAAAAATTAGCCAGGTGTGGTGGTGGGCACCTGTAATTCCAGCTACTCAGGAGGCTGAGGCAGGAAAATCACTTGAACCCCACTTGAACCCCAGAGGCAGAGGTTGCAGTGAGCCGAGACTACCCCATTGCACTCCAGCCTGGGCAACAAGAGCAAAACTCCGTCTCAAAAAAAAAAAAAAAGAATGGAACAAGCAAAACTCACAGCTGAGTATATACTGTCAATAAAGAGAAAAGAGAAGTTAGAAATCCCGCTAAGCTCATACTTCTGTCTGGGGCTGTCCTGCTGTGATGTGAGAATAAGCTTGCTACCTTTGGTGCTACTGGCTGCAAAATGTTGATGTGGAAAAGCCAGAGAATTACAGGAGGTCTGTCCTAGCCCTCAATATCCTCAGTCGTTACAATAAACATCCCCTCTTCAGGCTTATGCATGTATTGCTTTAGAAGCACTCTGGCAGCTTTTATTCTTTCTGCCTCCAAGAACAGTTTGCCTACAGCATTCCCAATGCCCCTGTAGGGAGCTGACCACATGCTTGTGTGTCCTCAGGCTTGGGGGTCCCTAACCCGGCCTAATAAATCCTTCTCAACTTTTACAGGAAATCTGTGGCTTTTTCTTTTTTTAAATAGAGACAGGGTCTCGCTATGTTGCCCAGGCTGGTCTTGAACTCCTGGGCTCAAGTGATGCTCCCACCTTGGCCTCCCGAAGTGCTGGGATTACAGGCATGAGCCACCACATCTGGCTGACATCTGTTACTTTAATGTGGGAGAATTAAAAGGAGGAAAGGGATTTTACAATCACTCACTGAGTAAAAGTGAGAAATATCCTTAACTTCTGATTCCACACAATTTCTAGCCTAAGATCAAAGCCCTGAAATGAACCTTAAGTCAAGAAAAGTCCATGTTCATCTGCTTTGTTTCCCAGTAATGTGAGGTCTTCAGAATGTGCCTGGGGCTACGGATATGCTAAGGAGACTGGCATGCTGTTAGGGGTGGGGGAAAGTCACGTAACGTAACCGAAGACTTCAGTTCCCGGCCCTGCTAAGTATGACTTGGGGCAGGTTACTTGGTTTCTCTAGGCCTCGTTACTCATGTGTGAAGTGGAAATGATGACCATACCACAGGACTGTTGTGGGGAGAAAATGGAATAGAATGAATGCAAAAGTGCTTGCAAACCATCCAACCCTGTGTAATGTCAGGGATGACTGCCACCACTAGGAGCATCACCACCAGCTCCTATGAAACCTACGAAAAGGCAGAAGTAAAACAGGGCTAGTGGAAAACCAGCCACAAGCATTGAGAGTTGAGGCAGTCCTGGAACAAGGAAGGGAACATGCGCCCGGTTTCTTACCCGGTGTTCTGCCAGGAACTCAGGTGTGAGGGTCCAGGGCGCGTTCCTCACGACCTCGTCCACGTAGCGGCAGTGCTGCACCGCATCGTAGCGCTCATTCTCATTCATCACCGTGAAGCCCTTGAAGTTGTGCGTTAGCTCATCACTGCAAACTGAGTTCCCCACACCAGAAAGCCATGAGTCAGAACCCTCTTTGCTTAACCACTCCCGTCTCCTCCCACTTCTTAGGACTGCAACCATCTTCCCCAACTGGAGAAAAGTCTTCTCAAGGTAGTTCAACCTGGGCACAATGCCCGTCCTAACGCAGCGTATACTTTCAGGAGCAACACGAACAGTATGTTCATACTTTGGATAAGAAACAGTGCAACAGGGGACCAAGATCTTTGACTCTGAAATAAACCTGCTGTGCATGTCGGTATCAATTAAGTTCTTAAACATGTTTTCTTGTTTTATTAATGCTGGACTGGACCACATAACATTTCCTTGGCAGGCTTTTATACTCCAGTTGATTCAAAACGATAAACTGAAATCTAAAGGAAATGTTTTTAAGTAGGCAACAGAAGTCACTGTTGCTCCTGTGACTGCAGAAACTCCGCTAAAAACAGTGAGATAAATGTCAGATGTCACAGTCAATGAGCTCGAAGCTCCTCTCTCCAGATTTAGGTTGCAAGTACCTCACATACGTCACGTGTTTTAGAAAGGCTGTACGACATCCTTCATTTAAAAATGAAAACAAGAGCCATGTACTCAGGTTGTAAAGACAGAAGAGAAAGAAAGGCTACTATCATCTTGTTCTTCACAGCACCTGAAGTCGTCAGATATTTTCTTACCTCCCACGATGAGGTATGTATTAGGGAAAAGGTTCTTTGCTTGCATCAGAGCTCGGGCATGACCAGAGTGAAATAAGTCAAATATTCCATCAGCATAAACTCTCACGGGCCGCTCACCTAAATACAAATGAAAGAATTTGTCGCCGGGCGTGGTGGCTCAAGCCTGTAATCCCAGCATTTTGGGAGGCCGAGGCGGGTGGATCATGAGGTCAAGAGATTGAGACCATCCTGGTCAACACGGTGAAACCCCGTCTCTACTAAAAATACAAAAAATTAGCTGGGCATGGTGGCGTGTGCCTGTTAATCCCAGCTATTGAGGAGGCTGAGGCAGGAGAATTGCCTGAACCCAGGAGGCGGAGGTTGCGGTGAGCCAAGATTGTGCCATTGCACTCCAGCCTGGGTAACAAGAGCGAAACTCCGTCTCAAAAAAAAAAAAAAAAAATTTTTATCACAAAAATACATTTCTTTTTTGAGACTGAACCTTGCTCTGTCGCCCAGGCTGGAGCACAGTGGTGCGATCTTGGCTCAGTGCAACTTCCACTTCCCGGGTTCAAGTGATTTTCCTGCCTCAGCCTCCCGAGTACCTGGGACTACAGGCACATGTCATAACACCTGACTACTTTTTGGGTTTTTAGTAGAGACGGGGTTTTGCCTCGTTGGCCAGCCTGGTCTTGAATTCCTAGCCTCAAGTGATCCGCGCACCTCAGCCTCCCAAAGGGCTGGGATGGCAGGTGTGAGTCACCACGCCCAGCCACAAAAATACATTTATTCAATATCCTGTACTTGGCAGATGGAAATGGCACTGTGAGTTCCGTGACTGCATACTCATTCAAGGTGTTCTCTGGGTATTCACCCTGATTTTGGGGGTAGGTTGGATTATGAAAAACAACATCACAGACTTCCTTGACTATAAGTAAAGACCTTTTCATTTTTTTCTGGGACAGGGTCTCACTCTGTCATCCAGGCTACAGTGCCATGGTGCAATCATAGCTCACTGCAGCCTCGACCTCCTGGCCTCAAGTGATCTTCCCATCTCAGCCTCCCGAGTAGATGGGATCACAGGTGCACACCACCATGCCCAGCTAATTTTTTCATTTTTTGTAGAGACAATGTTGCCCAGGCTGGTCTTGAACTCCTAGACTCAAGCAGTCCCATCTCAGCTTCCCAAAATGCTGGGATTACAGGTATGAGCCACTATGCCCAGCCTATAAAGGTATTTTTGACATCGTCATCTCAACTAACTGTCTTTGTTAGCCTGGTTGTACAAAACTTCTCAGGCACAAAAAACAACAGAGAACTGACTGTCAACTTAGAAGCAAGAAATTATTTCCTGGGGTACAAGACTAAGTCCAAAGCCAAATAAACATTAAAAATGAAACCAGCATAATGGTTCATCAAAGTTTAAATAATAAATCTAAGGAGTCCATGTAACTTATTTCCTTTATGTGAGTAAAGGAAGAGCTATTTGACTGCAGCACCAGAAAGTGACAGTAGGAACATCTGTGTCATTTTGGGAAAGATGGGCCCAAAGTGCCATCAGACGTGCTGCGCTGAGGCTGAGGACCAGACACATCTCCTTCCTGTCTTAAGGGCAGCGAATCAAGGGAAGGAAGTTTATGAATGTTTGTTTTCAAAAAGCTTTATTCGTAAACAAGTAGATTTTAAACCAAGAAATCATACATTGCTGAAAGGAATTATCAGCAACTTTCTAAAAGGGTAATTAGGTAGTATCTATTAAAAGACAAACAACAAATTCTTGTATCTTTGGCCTAGCTATTCCAACTCTGGGAATTACCTCACAGTAAATATAGACGTTATTCAGCACAGTGCTGTTTATAATAGCAACAGTTAGGAAACAGCCTAAATTTCAATGGAAGATTGAATATAGCATAATACACCCACAACAAGGTCGGAGGAGATATAAACGATTTACTTAGATAGTCACAGAAATTGGTAATATTGGTTGCCTGTTACGGGGATACCAGGTCGCTGTGAGACAGATCTTGAGAGGAAGACCTTTGACTTTACGCCCTCTTTGTACTTTATGGATATTAACTGTAGGAATGTATGGATTTCATTTGATTTGATTTTTTGAGACAAGGTCTGGCTCTGTCACCCAGGCTGGAGTGCCGTGGTGTGGTCTCAGCTCACTGTAACCTCCACCTCGCAGGCTAAAATGATCCTCCCACCTCAGCCTCCCAAGTAGCTGGGGCTGCAGATACACAACACCATGCCCAGCTAATTTTTGTTTTTTGTAGAGATGGAATATCACATGTTGCCCAGGCTAGTTGTATTTTTTTTCTTTTTTTTTTATAAGATGGAGTCTGGCTCTGTCACCCAGGCTGGAATATGGTGTTATGATCTAGGCTCACTGTAACCTCTGTTTCCCAGGTTCAAGTGATTCTCCTGCCTCAGCCTCCCATGTCGCTGGGATTACAGCTGAAAGCCACCATGCAGGGATGATTTTTGTATCTTTAGTAGAGACAGGGTTTCGCCACGTTGGCCAGGCTAGTCTCAAAACTCCTGACCTGAAGCAATTCACCTGCCTTGGCCTCCCAAAATGCTGGGCTTACGGGTGTGAGCCATCACACCCAGCCTAGGCTGGTTGTACTGATTTTAAAATACAGCAAATAAAAAATTTTAATTATACCACCAATCTAATGAAAAACTAATAATTAATTTAATGGATTTAAGAGTCAGAAAGGTCATAGCTCAAGCTTGCCAACCAGCTTTCTTCCTCTGTAGCCTTAACTTCCTTATGCCTCAGTATTCTCCTCTATGAGACAAAGCAGGCTGGATGTGGTAGCTCACACCTGTAATCCCAGCACTTGGAAGACCAGGGCAGGAGGACTGCTTGAGCCCAGGAGTTTGAGACCAGCCTGGGCAACACAGTGAAACCCTATCGCTATTAAAAATTATTTTTTACTGCCAGCATGTGTCAACTAAAAAAAAAAAGAAGAAAAAGATTATTTAAAAAGTAATTTATGGCCGGGCGCGGTGGCTCAAGCCTGTAATCCCAGCACTTTGGGAGGCCGAGGCGGGTGGATCACGAGGTCGAAAGATCGAGACCATCCTGGTCAACATGGTGAAACCCCGTCTCTACTAAAAATACAAAAAAACTAGCTGGGCGTGGTGGTGCGTGCCTGTAATCCCAGCTACTTAAGAGGCTGAGGCAGGAGAATTGCCTGAGCCCAGGAGGCGGAGGTTGCGGTGAGCCGAGATTGCGCCACTGCACTCCAGCCTGGGTAACAAGAGCGAAACTCCGTCTCAAAAAAAAAAAAAAAAAAAGTAATTTATTTAATAATTAAATAATTTATTTTAAAAATTATTTTAAAAATAATTTTTTTTACAAAACAAAGTAAAATAAAACAAAATCTGAGCAAATAATCCCTCTTCCATATCCCAGAAATCACTGCATTGGCTCTGTGCCTATTAAAAAATAATAAATTTAAAAATTTTTTGGGCCAAGTGTGATGGCTCATGCCTGTAATCCCAGCACTGTGGGAGGCCAAGGCAGGCAGATCATCTGAGGTCAGCAGTTCAAGGCCTGCCTGGCTAACATGGTGAAACCCCATCTCTACTAAAAATATAAAAATTAGATGGGTGTGGTGGTGGGCGTCATTAATAATCCTAGCTACTTGGGAGGCTGAAGTGGGAGAATCACGTGAACCTGGGAGGAAGAGGCTGCAGTGAGCCAAGATCAAGGCACTGCATTCCAGCCTGCGCAACAGAGCGAGACTGTGCCTCAAAAAACAAAACAAAAACACACACACAAATTTTAAAGTATCCCAGAAGTCACGTCCATGAAGTAACTAACACACTTCCGTTTTTCCTAAACAAGTCCAGGGGCTATGATCTCACACTGTTCGATGCTAAAACACAAGGATAGAATATAAAAAGTAAGACCGTTTTGTCGTTTGCTACTAGGCAACACACAGAACGCTGCTGATCAGGTGGCCGCGGCGGCACAGCTGCTCATCCTGTGCTGGGCCAAGGAGATCGCTGAACCTCTTCTCTGTCGAGTCTCAGATGTGCCTCTTGTCCCCAGTGCTGCCCCAGCCTGCTCATCTCCACCGGCCACTATTCCACCCAAGTCCTTGGCAAACCCAGACTGACATATTAACCAAATGGCCGGCAGGGGCCGCTGTTAGACTAGTCTGGGAAGAAAGCTAGCATCAGCCATTCTTTAACCGAGCGGCCGCTGGCCAGGATCACCACACCCCTGATTTATATGTGTTGTTTCCACACACGTATGTGCCGAGACAACAAACGTATATTATAGTATGTATAACATTTATATAAATCATATGCTTTTAATATAACTTTTAATGTTCATATCATTACATAATATATATTATACATATATAATAATACATCTTTTATATATTATACATATTATATATGTGCTTGTGTGTGTGTGTGTGTGTGTGTATTTTTTTTTAAAGACAGGGTCTCTGTCACCCAGGCTGGAGTGCAGTGGTGCAATCATGGCTCACTGTACTCTAGACCTCCTGGGCTCAAGCGATCCTCTCACCTCAGCCTCCTGAGTAACTGGGACTACAGATGCACACCACCACAACTGGCTAATTTTTTAAATTTTTTGTAGAGACGGGATCTCACTGTATTGCCCAGGCTGGTCTTGAATTCCTGGCCTTGAGTAATCCTTCTGCCTTGGTGTCCCAAAGTGCCAGGATTATAGGCAGGAGCCACCACACTCAACCTCTGCATATTCTTAACAGCAGCTCCCTTTCATGCTCAAAACTGTCCTGATTTGGATGATAAATTATATGGTTTATATGGATTATGAATTAATTATACACTGCACCACTGGTGACTAAGTAACCATATGTCCTCCCTTAGGCAGAAGAAACTTGGGTTTCAATTAATGATCTATTTTGGTGTATTTATTCCCCCAAGTACCTACCACCGACACATTCTGTCCCTAACAGATTTCCACTGCCCTTTATTCTCCCTTTTTCTTACTTTCTCTGAGTTAAACATACTGCTGACTTTTTTTTCATCCTCCAAAACATTCCCAGAGCTGACCTTCTTATCTCTCAAATCATATTTGTTTTTCTCTGAGTAGAGAATCTTCTCCTAGACTATACAGCCTTCCTAGTGAAAACATGGGGAGCAGGAGGGAGATGTTTAAAATTCACTAGAGCATGTGCACATTCTTTATTGGTTTATTCCTTGTCCTGCACTGGCATGAATGCAGTTAGCTACTTGGTGATTTAACGTAAAACAGTCAGACAAAATGAGATATGAGAGAAAAACCAGAGTTCAAATGAAGCTGGCAAATTTATAGGCTAGTTTGTGGCTGTTTGTTCCACCAAAAATACAATTATTTTGCTGACGGCCTTCTATTCTAGTGCTTACAGTAAGTAGCAGCATCCAGGGTGAGACTTTAGCTACAATTCTGTCCCGCTAATGATCTGTTTTACTGTAGGCTGGGCACAGTGGCTCACTGCTGAAGTCCCAGCTACTTGGGAGACTGAGATTTGAGAACTGCTTGAACCCGGGAGGCGAAGGTTGCAGTGAGCTGAGATCACGCCACTGCACTCCAGCCTGGGTGACAGAGCAAGACTCTGTCTCAAAAAACAAAACAAAACAAAACTTGGAAGCAGTACCTATCTTTTCAACTTTTACGTACCACAGATGGTATGTGGACAAATTAGCAACAAACTGGGTGATGCAACCAATCTGATGAGATCTAAATGAATAACTGATTCTAAGTGTGTGTCATTAGGGAGTACGTAAAAAGTTCTTGCTTCCAACAAACTCCACTATCACATCTGAATGTGAACCTAGACTATCTTTCGGCATTTTGAAGTGAGAACTGCCCACCTTACGCTCTGATCCATACAGTCTCTGGTCTTCCTTGTCATTTTACCCTGCCCCAGGAGCCTACCTATTACCCAAATAAGGGAAGCCAAACTCAAAAATCATAAATGAATCAGAGGGTTGTAATCAACATGAACTATATCTAAACATTTCTGCAAAAGGGAAGGATTCTCTAGAATTAGCCTCTTTTTTGTTTAGGACCCAAAAACCACAGTACATATACCCAAGATAAGGCCAAGGGGTAGGCGTTAAAATTCCCGGTATGACACTTGTATCACTTCTGTTTGTTTTGAAACAGGGTCTCACTCTGTCACCAGGCTGGAGTGCAGTGGCATGATCTTGGCTCACTGCAATCTCTGCCTCCTGGGTTCATGCAATTCTCTCCTTAGCCTCCCGAGTAGCTGGGACTATAGGCGTACGCTGCCATGCCCACATAAGTTTTGTATTTTTAGTAAAGACAGGGTTTCACCATGTTAGCCAGGCTGGTCTCGAACTCTTGACCTCAAGTGATCCACCCACCTTGGCCTCCCAAAATGCTGGGATTACAGGCATGAGCCACTGCTCCTGGCCCACTTCTATTTGTACTTCACTGTTCTTCAGTTACAACAGAGAGCAAACCTACCAACACAATTAAGAAGTAACCACAAATAAACTGTATATGCTGCAAATGTATAGACTTATGGCTGTAACTCCCTCTTATTCCCTGGTGTTTGAGTCTTAGTTCAGCCCTACATTTACAGGATAGAGAGAATACTTATTATAGTAATCGGAAACAGTGAAAAAGGATTGGAAAAATTGGAGAATTTACAGAGAAAAAAGAACATTTGTCTATAGGACTTTGTATTCATAACGAATGCTCTTGGAAGTTTCTTTTTATAGTGAGCTCTAAAACCAATTGCTCCACATTCGAAAAGCATCTTGAATATATACTAATAATTTATGTAGTCAAAAACTACTGATTAATGATGTAAATTAAGCACGCAAAGAGGAAGGGCTTTGAAAATAATAAAGTTTTTTAAAACTTTATAATATCAGGAAAATTATCAGGAAAAATAAAGTGATGAGCACCTCCCAACTTGGGGTATTTTTGTCCTCTATCAATCAGCAGGACCACAGCCAACTGACAGAAAGTAGAAAGATTGTGGGGGAAATTCTGAAGGCTATGAAAAATGTGACAGCCTGAATTATTATTTGGACCTTTATAGAAATAGGCAAGATCATAAACCAGCTCAGACTAATATACTATCTTATGGTTTCTGTTCTACTGTATCTCATAGCTACAACAGCAGCCCAGGAAACAGGTGTATAATAATAAGAAAAAAATGGGCTGGGTGCGGTGGCTCACGCCTGTAATCCCAACACTTTGGGACGCCGAGGCGGGTGGATCATGAGGTCAAGAGATCGAGACCATCCTGGTCAACATGGTGAAACCCCGTCTCTACTAAAAATACAAAAAATTAGCTGGGCATGGTGGCGCACCTGTAATCCCAGCTACTCAGGAGGCTGAGGCAGGAGAATTGCCTGAACCCAGGAGGCGGAGGTTGCGGTGAGCCAAGATGGTGCCATTGCACTCCAACCTGGGTAACAAGAGCAAAACTCTGTCTCAAAAAAAAAAAAAAAAGAAAGTTTACGGAGTGGAGTTACCCTTCTCAATAGAGCATCAAGACCAATGGGAAGAACCCCTTTCCTCCATTAGCCTTTACAAGTAAACTGAGGGAAGTATTTAGAGTAGGTGTGTATTTGATCAATACAATGGAATGCTAAAGACAATAATCAAACAGCAAATTAAGTAGGTATTTACTTACAAGGAGTTCCTCTACTGGCTTCTTCCATAGTTACCCTGACATAGGGCTTACTAAAGTCCACTTCAATTTCATCAGAAAAAGGAGCTGGTTGCCGTAAGCCCTTAAGAAAAGGAAAGTGAATGAAAAACAAAGTTCAATTCAATGGCATACATGGAAATACTAAAAAAAATGGCAGCTTTAAAGAAAAATCAGTTATTTGATATGATGTGACTAAAATTCTTCCTAAAACATTATAACGTAAAAAAGAAGGGAACAAAAGGTATTCCAAACCAACAAATGAAAGCTGTAATCTTTTACAAAATGGGCAAATCGTGGCATGAAAAATAAATGTCTTGCAGGTGATTTCAGGTTAAGATGGAGCCATCTGTCTGGGAGACTAAGCACAGTCCCAACTAACTGGGTCAGGAGTGATGGCTCCTCTGAAGCATGGCAAAACAGCCACCCCTGTATCATGTGACAAACAGCCAAGATTCATAAATGCATTTTCTTTGTTGTCTTTTCTTTCTTTCTTTCTTTTTTTTTGAGACAGAGCCTCACTCTGTCACCCAGGCTGAAGTGCAGTGGTGTGATCTCGGCTCACTGCAAGCTCCGCTTTCCAGGTTCAAGTGATTCTCCTGCCTTAGCCTCCCACGTAGCTGGAATTATAGGTGCCCGCCACCACGCCCAGCTAACTTTTGCATTTTTAGTAGAGACTGGGTTTTGCCATGTTGGCCAGGCTGGTCTCAAACTCCTAACCTCAAGAGATCCACCTGCCTTAGCCTTCCAACGTGCTGGGATTGTAGGTGTGAGCCCCCGCACCTGGCCCGTGAGTGCATTTTCACACCACTTCAACTAGAAGACTGCGAAGGCAAACAGCTCCAGGTGCTTTATGAAGTACAAGTATTGCTGTGCAGTGCTTTACACTGTGAACATGAAACAGCTCCAGGCGCTTTATTAAGTACAATTATTGCTGTGTAGTGCTTTACACTGTGAATATGTTCCCATGCTCATAACAGCCCCGAAGGCAAGGACTGCTGTAACTGGTATCCTCAGTTTAAGGATGAGAGGAATGAGGCAGGGCACGGTGGCTCACACCTGTACTCCCAGCAATTTGGGAGGCCAAGGCAGGCAGATGACCTGAGGTTAGGAATTCCAAGACCAGCCTGGCCAACATGGTGAAACCCTGTCTCTACTAAACATACAAAAATTAACCGAGCACGGTGGCATACCTGTAATTCCAGCTACTCGAGGGGCTGAGGCATGAGAATCGCTGGAACCCAGGAGGCAGAGGTTGCAATGAGCCAAGATTATACCATTGCACTCCAGCCTGGGCCACAGAGCAAGACTCAGCGTCAAAAAAAAAAAAAAAAAAAATGAATGAGAGAAAGAGATTCAGAGAAGTTATGTAAATTGCATGCAGTTACTCAGAGGCCAAGCTGAAATCATTATGCAGACATGTTGATCTCTCTATTACAGATGGCTTAACTTAAGGGTTTTTGTTATTCCTAAATATTTTATTTACTTGATGCTTTTGTGAACAGAATTGTTTTCTTAATTTTATTTTATTTTATTTTATTTATTTATTTTTTTTTTTGAGATGGAGTTTCGCTCTTGTTACCCAGGCTGGAGTGCAATGGCGCGATCTCGGCTCACCGCAACCTCCGCCTCCTGGGTTCAGGCAATTCTCCTGTCTCAGCCTCCTGAGTAGCTGGGATTACAGGCACGCGCCACCATGCCCAGCTAATTTTTTGTATCTTTAGTAGAGACGGGGTTTCACCATGTTGACCAGGATGGTCTCGATCTATCGACCTCGTGATCCACCCGCCTCGGCCTCCCAAAGTGCTGGGATTACAGGCTTGAGCCACCGCGCCTGGCTTAATTTTATTTTTGGATTGTTCCTTGATAGTATGTAACAGTGCAGTTGATCTGTATTTGTGTTTGTGTAACTGAACTTTTCTGTATATTGATCTTACGTCCTATGTCTTTGCTGAAGTTAATTATTACGTCCAGGACCAGTTGTTTCGTAGATTCCTTAGCATTTTCTACATATAGCATCACGTTGTCTGTGAATGAAGATAGTTTTGCTTATTCTCTTCCAATCTGGGTTTTTTTTTTTTTTTTTTGAGAGTCTGGCTCTGTTGCCCAGGCTGGTGCCATTTTGGCTCACTGTAACCTCGACCTCCCCGACTCAAATGATCCTCCCACCTCAGCCTCCCAGGGAGCTGGGACTACAGGCATGCACTACCTGACACCCAGGTAATTTTTTATTCTGGTTGAGACAAGTTCTCACCATGTGCCTAGGCAGGTCTCAAACTCCTGGCCTCAAGCAATCCTTCCACCTTGGCCTCCAAAAGTGCTGTGTTTATAGGTGTGAGCCACCATACCCAGCTAATTTTTTGTATTATTTTTTCAATTCAGTCTCCATAGAGACTGTCAAAAAAATCGCCAATGCTGACTATACTGCAAGTCATCACAGAGGGGTATTGGGAAGAGTTTTCAAGTAGTAATAACCATGCCTCAGATAAACCTCAGTGGCCACCGTGCAAAGCTTTTTTTTTTTTTTTTTTTTTTTTTTTTGACAAGAGTCTGGCCCTGCCACCCAGGCTGGAGTGCAATGGTGCAATCTTGGCTCACTGCAATGAGGCTCTGCCTCCTGGGTTCAAGCAATTCTGCTGCCTCAGCCTCCTGAGTACCTGGGATTACAGGCGCACACCACCACGCCCAGCTAATTTTTTGCAACTTTAGTAGAGATGGAGTTTCACCTTGTTGGCCAGGCTGGTCTCGAACTCTGGACTTTGTGATCAGCCCACCTTGGCCTTCCAAAGTGCTGGGATTACAGGCGTGAGCCTCTGCGCCCAGCCTGCAAAGCTGTTTTTTAAAAATTATTATTAATTTTTTAGAGATGGGGTTTTGCCATGTTGACTAGGCTGGGCTCGAACTCGTGGACTCAAGTGATCCACCCAGCTCAACTTCCCAAAGTGCTGGGATTACAGGTGTGAACCACTGCACCCGGCCTGGGATTTTTAACCACAGTTTGTTTCTTGTGATGTTTTTCTCTGGCTTTGGTGTCTGGCCTCACAAAATAGGTTGTGAAGTGTTCTCTTCACCTTAATTTTTGTGTAATATTTGTATGATTTATTCCTTACACGGTTTTGTGGTTTTTATAGAGACAGAGTCTCACTCTCTCTCCAAGGCTAGAATGCAGTGGCACAATCACAGCTTTCTGCAGCCCCCATCTCCGGGGCCCAAGCAATTCTCTCGCCTCAGCTTCCCTAGTCAGCTGGGATTACAGGCATGCACCACCACATCCAGGTAATTTTTTAACTTTGGGCCTGGACTTTGAGAAGATTTTTAATGACTAATTCCCTTTTTTTTTCTTTTTTAACTTGATATAGGTCTATTAAGATTTTATACTTTGTCTTGGTTAGTTTTTATAATTTGTCTCTTTCTAGGAAATTGTCTATTTCATTAAGGCTGTCAAAATTTTTGACATGAAATCATTTACGGTATTCCCCATAATCCTTCTAATTTCTGTATAGCTGCAGTGATGTTCAGTTCTAAAAAGATCGTATCATGACTGGGCTGAATCCAGATACTGGGAAGATACTGTCTTGTTTTCAGGTAAGTACAGATTTTTAAAATTGTTTTAACATCAAAACACATATTTTTTTTCCTTTGGCCGGGCACAGTAGCTCATACCTGTAATCCCAGCATTTACGAGGCTGAGGCTGATAGATTGCTTGAGCCCAAGAGTTTAAGACCAGCCCGAGCCACATGACGAAACCGTGTCTCTACAAACAAATACAAATATTAGTCAGGCCGGGCGCGGTGGCTCAAGCCTGTAATCCCAGCACTTTGGGAGGCCGAGACGGGTGGATCACGAGGTTGAGAGATCGAGACCATCCTGGTCAACAAGGTGAAACCCCGTCTCTACTAAAAATACAAAAAATTAGCTGGGCATGGTGGTGTGTGCCTGTAATCCCAGCTACTCAGGAGGCTGAGGCAGGAGAATTGCCTGAACCCAGGAGGTGGAGGTTGCAGTGAGCCGAGATCGCGCCATTGCACTCCAGCCTGGGTAACAAGAGCGAAACTCCGTCTCAAAAAAAAAAAAAAAAAAAAAATATTAGTCAGGTATAGTGGCATATGCCTGTAGTCCCACTACTTGGGAGGCTGAAGTGGGAGGATTGCTTGAGCCAAGGAGGTAGAGATTACAGTGAGCTGACATTGCGCCACTGCACTCTAAACAGAGCAAGACCCTATCTCAAAAAAAAAAACCCAAAAAACAAAAAACACACCTATATAAGTTTAGTTAAGATATACTAATAATCATATAAGAGGAAACTTTTTTTTTTTAAGACAAAGTCTCGCTCTGTCGCCAGGCTAGAGTGCACTGGTGTGATCTTGGCTCACTGCAACCTCTGCCTCCCGGGTTCAAGCGATTCTCCTGCCTCAGCCTCCCAAGTAGCTGGGACTATAGGCACACAACACCACACCTGGCTCATTTTTGTATTTTTAGTAGAGACGGGGTTTTACCTTATTGGCCAGGCTGGTCTCAAACTCCTGACCTCAAGTGATCTGCCAGCCTCAGCCTCCCAAAGTGCTGGTATTACAGGCATGAGCCACTGCGCCCAGCCCTCTTTTATTTTTTTGAGGCAGTCTTGCTGTCACCCAAGCTGGAGTGCACTGGTGTGATCTTGGCTCACTGCAACCTCCACCTCTTGGGTTCAAGTGATTCTTGTGCCTCAGTTTCCCAAGCAGCTGGGACTACAGGCATGCACCGCCACACCTGACTGATTTTTGTATTTTTAGTAGAGACAGGATTTCACCATGTCAGCCAAGCTGGTCTTGAACTCCTGGAGGCCCACCTCCTTCGGTCTCCTAAAGTGCTGAGATTACAGGCTTGAGCCACCATGCCCAGCCAAGACAGTCATTTTTAGGGGTTGGTGTGTGTGTGTGTGTGTGTGTGTGTATGTGTGATTCTTTAGAATACTTTTAAAAATAGAACCAAGGACGTAAGTACTAATCAAAACCACAATGAGATACTACTTCATGTCAACCAGAATGGCTATTAGCAAAAAGACAGGCAATAACAGTCTCAGTAAGGATGTGAAGAAATTAGAA